TTGCCCAGCAGAGTTCTCTAGGAAACTGTAGAGAAAACAAAACTAAACGAAAAATGAAACCTCCAAGTTGGAGACGTCCCCAGACCCCGAGGTCTCCAGCCTCGATGACAAATGCCAAGATGGCCCTAGTTTTCTGGAAAAGTCACTGGTCCAAGAACTATGTCCTGGGCACCTGCTCTGTGCCAGAGTGAGCTATTGGGCAAGGAGCCTTGTCCTGCTCTATCGGGCTGGCCTCACAGCAGAGGCCCCTGGGCAAGGCCCCACTGCTGTCCCCTCTGCTGCCAGGCTGTGGTGCATGCCGGTCTGTTGTTGCGAGGCACAGCCTCCCCATGTCACCCTGAGCTGTGACTATGGAAACACGGACGGTTTGCCAATCTAAATGGTCGCTCCTCACTTCCTCCTTTCGCCCCTCCCCCGCCTTGCTTCAGACACAATGTCAAGCGCAGGCAGGTCCCACCCCAGGCCCACCTGCCCTGGTGTATGGATGGGGAGCAGTGGGGCTGTCACTGGAGTCTGGGGTGGACTAGGGCTGGAGGCTGGGTGGGTCCAGGCAGTAGGGCAGAGGAGGGAGCCTTGTGGCCAAGGAAGAGGCGCTGCTTCCCAAAAAACCAAAGAGCAAAAAAAGACCAGGAGAGTGGGGGCAGGAGAACTCAGTTTCCCATCCTCTCACACCCTGCCTGGTGGCCCAGGACATCACTCGATGCATGTTCCAGCTATACTCCTTCATCAACAAGAAAGCTGAAGCCCAGAGAGGGAAAGGGATCTGCCCCAGGTCACCCAACAATTTGGTAGCCCTATTAGAATCACCACCAGGGCTTCTGAAAAGCTGAGAAATCTTCCCAAAGTTGCTAGCTAGGTGCCCCCTGGCTCCAGCTGCCAGGCCAGTGGAGGAGGAGGGACCACACCCTGCCTGGATTCGCCACTGGGACAGCTGCATCCAGGAGGTACCTGACCAACAGTGCACAGAGACCAAGGAGTCCCAGTTGCTGCCTGTGACCTCCTAGCTTCCTGCCCTGGGAGGTTTAACCCTTGCCTCCCCTCCCCCTAAGCGTCCAGGGAATCCAAGCTGCAGGCCAGGCTGCCTCTCACGCTCCCTCCCTCACAGCTGCAGCTGGGCCTGGTGGGAAAGGGACACAGGGACACCTGGGGCCCCCTCCACCACAACCCAGCCCTTTCCCACTTGAAGTGGCCCCAGGTCCCTATGGGAACCAAGAAGTGGTCGGGGGTCATTCCATGGGAGCCCTGGGTGCTCTGAGATTGGAGATCTCCCACCCCTCAGCTCCAAAGGGGCCCATGCCCCCCACAGGGAAGTGGAAGGTTGGGACCCTCGCACCTGGACTGGCCAGCACCTCCCCCACTGCCTGGCCTGAGATCCCGGGCCCCAGGGGGCTGCAGCAAGGACAGAAATAGCCCTGACTTCCCAGGCTCTTTTTTGGTCTCCAGTCTGTTCCGGTCCCCTCAAGCCACCACTGGTCTGTGGAGCCTGTAGGGGCTGGGAAGAGCTAGGATCATGTCCCCCCCACCCTGGGTGGGACAGAAGCCAGAGGGTCCACAGGAGGCAGCAGGAGGCTCCAAGGAAGAGATGGTCACTGAGGTCCTGGCAGTGGAAAGGGCCAGGAAAAGGGACGGGGAGGAGGGGAACTAGAGCCCTGGGGGACACGGAGGAGCCTCCCACTTTGGAATCACCGCTAATCAATAGACACCCAAGGCCAAGCCAAGGGCAGAGCCTTTGGACCCAGGCCAACCCAGGTGTGAGAAGATCAGAGCCCACAAACCCAGAGGGTGTGAGTGGACATCCAGGCCCCATTCCATACCAGCTTCCTGACCACAGCCTTCCCACGAGGCCGGAAGACAGGACGGATTTGAGAGTGAAGAATCCCAGGATCTAATTTTAGATGGTGGCGCCCTCCCGGCTGCCGACAGTGAGCAGTGCCAAGAGGGTGACAGCTCTGCTCCTCTGCCTGGGCTCTTGCTCTAATGGTGCCAGCAGACAGGGCCCAACCCAGATCCACACAGGGTCTCTGCTGAGAAGATCCTGAGGCTGGCACAGGACGGGCTTGGCAGGGCTGTCGAGGAGGCTGAAGCCAGGACCAGCTAGTGACCCTGAGATTGGACTGGGCGGGCTCCTGTCTTGACTCTAGATGACCTCAGCAAATCTGCCCTCTGCCTCGGTTTCCCCTTCTGTAAAGGATAGATCTCAGATGAGGCGTGTCAGGAACTAGGCCCTAAGAGCTCAGAGCTGTCCTAATTCCTCTCGCCACCATACAACTCCTAAGGACCCAGACAGACCTGGCACTCTAGACTCGGTGCCCAGTCCTGCACTGAGGGACAAAGGTGAGAAAAACAGCCCCATCCTGCCCATGAGCCTGACCCTGGGAACAGCTGATTAATGCCAGAAGCCTCTACGTCCAGACCTCCCAGGGAGCTGGGGCAAGGAGGGCAAAGGGAGCCCCAAGCTGAGGAATCATGGGGCAAAGCAAGGACACTGAGGCCCAGAGGGGGACTCCGCCCTGCCCAGGGCAGCCCAACAGACATGGCAGAGGCAGGACGTGAACCCAGGCTCCATCCCCTCCCCTGGACTTTCATGGGTGGGCAGGCAGCCCTGGGCCAGTCCTGCCACCCACAGCCGCCAGGCCCTGTGAGCAGAATGCCCAGCGCACCAGGGAAGCCAAAGGTTGTTCAGTGCCAACTCAGCAGAGCAGATTCCTCCTCCCAGACTCTATTAGAAAGCCCAGGGGGCATATCTCACATACCCTTCCCAGCACCCCACCACCACTCACACTGGATGAAGATGATGTACAGGGTAGGGAGGGGGCGAGGGCCTGATTAACCCCCAAGCCTTCTTCTATCTCTGCAACCCCCAGAATCTCTTGTGTTTTGTTTTGGTTTTTGAGACAGGCTTGCTATGTAGCCCAGGCCTTGAACTTCCAGCAATCCTCCTGCCTCAACCTCTCGAGTGCTGGGATTACAGGCATGAATCACCACATCCAACCAGAACCTTCTGAGGGGACAATCAGGAGCGCTGTCACCACAACGCTCTACAGAAGGATTCTCAGTGGCCCCAATTTCTCAGCAGCTGTCCTGAGGCAGGGGTTGGGTCTGAGGGCCCCATTGAGGTGTCCCCTGCAAACAAAGGCCCCAGGTTCCTCCAGAGTAGTGGTAGGCAGTAGGGGCTCCCATCCCCACCTCTTTAACTGTATTCTGGGTTGGGGCTGCCCTGCAGCCAGGGGTGTCAGAAACAGAGTCTCCAGAAGGTCAGTTGCTAGCCAAGACAGCACACTTCCACCTGGTAGCTGCCAGACCCCTGCTTACCTCTGTCCTGTGCCCCTCAGCTTCCTCATCTGAGAAATGAACAAGGTATCGGAGTGAAGGCAAGCCTACTGGGCCAGGTGTGGCTCAGAGGTAGAGAGCTTGCCTAGCATGTAGGTCTGGGTATGATTCCCAGCACTAGGAGAAGAAAGATGATAGCTTAGCCCAAGTCTGATACCCAGCAGGTGGCCACAGATGTGTTCTGGATATGGTCCTGTTCCTCCTTGAGTCTGAAGGCAGGGCAAGTGCTTCTATAAGAAGGTGCCAGGTGCTGGACAACCTGGGTTCTAGAGCCAGCTCTGCTGCCGTGTGTCTGTGTGAGGCCATGTAAGGCATGTCATCATCTCTCTCTGGGCCTCAGTCTTTTCTTTAATAAAACTCAGGGACTGAACTGAGCTGTCAGGAATGGAAAGCCTGAGCACGCACACTCTAATTTATACATTCTCCAACAGTGACAGACATGAGCAATCAATCACAACACAACTGCCTACTGAATCCACCCAGATTCAGTCTCAGAACCTCCAGACGCCCAGCACCACTGATCCAGTTGAGTCTGTTTCCTCTTTTGCAAAGAGCAAGGGTATGAGGATTAAATGAGAGTGTATTCAAAATGGGCTTTCAAAGAGTCTTTTTATCAGCAAACCCCATGAACCCCCCATGGTGGTAGGCACACTGGGGGCTCAGCTGGTTGTCCCTATCAGAAATATGGCCCCTTGGGGCCACGGGTTTAGCTCAGTGGTTTCGCTGCCTGCTGTGCAAGCACAAGGATTTGAGTTCAATCCCCGGTACCAAAAAGAAAAAAAAAAAAAAAAAGAAATATGGCCCCAAGAAAGATGAAGGTGCTGAAAACATAGGTTCTGGACCAATGTGGGAATAGTGGGGTGGCCCTGAACCCCAGACTCCAGGCCCCATTGCTCCTCCCTTAGACCTGCGCTCCTGGGGTCTGCAGTGGAGGATGTGTCTGTCTTTGACCTCCAGCTGCCAGCCCACTGTCACCTCCCACATTCAAGGAGCCAGGCCATCCTGGCTGGGCCCCCAAGGCTGCCCCTTCTCAGGCAGTGAGGTGGGGCAAAAGCCTAGAGGGCTTGTCCCTAATCCCATTTACAGCACAACTTGGGCGTCTCTGCCGTCTCCTGGGGGATGGCCCCAGGTCAAAGCAGCTCTTGTCTTCCCCCCTACCACCCCCAGTGAAGGCAGCAGCTGAAGACTATTCAGCAGAACAGCCTCCCTCCCACCCGTGTCCCCGGACCTGTGTGGCAGCGTCCACCCACCTCTGCTATCCCACACCCCTGGCTGGCTTGGGGCTGCCCTTCATATTTGGAGCTGTCACTAATCCAGCCATTCAACAGCCACCCCACATGCTCTCTCCCTATCCAAAACACCTTCCTGTCTTGCCTCTTGGTGTATGCTGGCTGCTCCCCAAGACCCAACCTAAAGGCCTCCTCCTCTGGGAAGTCCTCCCCCTCCCCTTCCCAGGCAGCTGGTACTGGGCTTCTCTCCCAGTACTCTCACCAGCACTGGCTTGAGATGACGACCGAGGGTGCTGGGGGGAGGGGGCAACCAGCCACAGCTGGGAGGAGAGGACAGCTGGCCCTGGGAGGAAGCCCAGCCCTCAGGGCCAACACCACTGTGCGCAGCGAAGTAGCTGAGGGATACCTACTCCAGCAGCCCTTGGGCAGTGAGGACACTGCTTGCTTATTACAAAATATCCTTTATTGATAAAATAGCTCACTTTTAAAAAATACTTGCATGTTACAAGCCATACTACCGAGGGTTCCCTGGGCACACACGATTAGCTAGCAGATGGTCACCAATCAGTCGGTCTCCTAGGCCCAGCCTCCCCACCACACCTGGGCCATAGCCCAGGGCAATGTCCTGGCTCACAACTGCCAAGGGAGAACTAGGTGGTACAGGCCTCTTCCCAAGGGGTGGGGGGGACTCTCTTTGGTCCCCATCATTCTCTCTACCCCAGGAAACTCCCTCAGCATCTTTCCCAATCTGGCAGGCCCATCAGAGTGCCAAGAGCCTCTGCTGCTCAGCCCACCCCTGCCCCATGTTAGGAGGCCCGCTGACCCACTGTGCAGCCAGACAGGCCAAGGAGATGACTGGGCAATGTTCTTTCCAGATGTCCAATTGTTGCTGGCACCAGGTTCAGGGCAGGGAGAGAACCAGGAAGGTAAGGCCCCTTTGCCATGGCACAGGTCATGGCAGAGCTCTAGGCATCACCAAGGGTCCCTCCTGGGTGGGACCAGTTACACTGCACTGGGACCCCGCCTGCCTGGAGGCCTTCCTGGGCACTGCACAGGCAGCTCCGGGGGAGTCCACGGGGCCTGGCTTGCCTGCTGTAGCCCCAGTACCCCGGCAGGGGGCTCTGCCATCTTCCTGGGCTCTCAGCACAGACCACTTCCACGTTGTAGGTATTTTTAGCTCTCTCAGGGAAATAATTTGCCCACTGAAGACAAACGATATATCCCCCATTGGGGTGGGAGCCAAAGCCACCAAAAACCCTCTTGGTGTTGCAGGTGACACATCAAGAAGCTGTCACCCAGCATAATAACCCAAACCTTTGTGGGCATAAGAACACATTCTCAAAGAATTCCTATAACTCAAAATAGTGTGCCATTCCCCACTTCCAGGCTGGGGCAGGAATTCACACACCCTGGAGACAGAACAAGAGTCTCCAGGAAGGCGGCTGGTGGTAAACACACAGAAAAGGGATTTTTATATCATCGGATAATCACATCTGCTGGTTCTCCAGTGCATTCCCCCATGGAGCTCAAAGCTTTCTGCAAAGCCTTTCATCTCCCTGTGGCAAGTAGGCGGCAAGCTATTGTCGCCCTGATTTTTTTCAGGGGGTGAATGCCAGTGATCGGGGAGCTCCCATCAAAGCATCCACGTGCCCACCCACCTCCCAGAGGGGGCCAGGTGAGAAAACCGATCCATGGTTCTGTTCTTTAAAGGAGACACAGACCCCAAAGCAGAAGGGAGAGAGAAGGGCCCAGAGTCAGTGCCATCCTATAATCCCTCCTGGTGCCCAGTGGGACCCATGGTGCCCAACGTGGGTGAACGGTCTTCATTCTTCTTCCTCTTCAGCAGCAGCAGCAGCAGGCCCTCCTGGGGAATGGGAAGCTGGCATCCTGCTCTTGGGGCAGGGGGGCAGATAAAGAAACAAAAACACCACAAGCAAGTGGCCTGCCAAGGAACACGGAGTCCTCAAGATATGGAAGACCACCCCTGGCCCCACAGGGGGCTGAGAAGGAGGTGCTGTACTGGGGAACATTCAGGAAGACCCGAGCTCATTCAGCACAGCCCAAGCTGCTTGTGCTCAGGAAGGGGGTGCAGAAGAGGTCCGCCGGCACAGAGCCAGCAAGGGGAGGCGTCCATGAACCCCCGGGAATGGCACTTCTGTCCCTGCCCCTCACAGGGGCTCCAGGTTGAGGCCTGCAGAAATGGGACAGGGACCAGAAAACCCCAGGGAGACAGCCACACAAAGCAGGGTAGGAAACAAGGTGGCCCTGGCATGGACCCCACCCAGGCAGCAGGCAGGCTGGCTCACCAAGCCGTCTGGGTCCACTGGCGGCACAAGATCTTTCGGAAGGCACGACGAAAGTCCTGGTTGAAGATGGTGTATATGACAGGGTTCAGGGAGCTATTGCAGTAGCCAATCCAGAAGAAGAACTGGAAGAGGCCCTGGGGCACCTTGCAGTGCTGGGGACAGATGGCACCCAGGCTGTAGCTAAAGAAGAAGGGGAACCAGCACAGCACAAAGACACCGATGACCACAGCCAGCACGAAGGTGAACCGCTTCTCTCGGGTCATCTGGGTCCGCCGACGCCACCACTGCCCACCCACAGCACCCACACCCCTGCCCAGCAGCACCTGACCACGCAGGGTGGCCAGTACCCGGGAGCCTTGTGGCTGCTGCAGGGATGGGCTGCACACCAAGGCAGGAGAGACTGGCACCACCTGTGGCTCACACTCCTCCTCCTCTTCAGCTTCCTCCTCTGCGAGTGCCACACTGACTCCCTTCTTCTGGCCCTGGCCTGAGGTGGGCAGAGCAGCCCAGCTGGATGGCAGAGTCCTGGTCCCAGGATCTTCAGCAGTCTCCCCCTCCTCCTTCTCCCCAGTGGGCGTGGGGTGTCCATTGGCCTCTCCAGCAGAAGACAGAGGCGAGGCCAGGGGTGGCACCTTGGCTGAGGTTGGAGCCCCCCCAGGGACAGGATGAGACTGCTTGGACTCACCTTCTCTAGGGCCCCCCTTGTCCCTGGGACCTCTGCGGTGGCTGCGCTTGGCAATCAGATAGATGCGCAGGTAAACCAGGATCATGATGAGGCAGGGAGCAAAGAAAGACCCGATGCTGGAGGCCAAGATGTACCATGCCTCTTGGTTGAGCTTGCATTGGGGGCGGCCATGGGGCTGTGGGCCCTGGTCTCCCTTATAGATGAGGGGCGGCAGCGAAATGACGGCCGCGATGAGCCACACGGTGAGGATGATGCACTTGATGCGGCGCGGGGTGCGCTTGGAGTTGTACTCCAGCGCTCGGCTCACCGCCCAGTAGCGGTCCAGGCTGATGGCGCACAGGTGCACGATGGACGAGGTGCAGAAGAGCACGTCGAGCGCCAGGTACACCTCGCACCACGTGCGCCGGAAGTACCAGTACCCCAGCAGCTCGTTGGCCAGCGAGAAGGGGATAATGAGCGTGGCTACCAGGATGTCCGCGGCGGCTAGCGACACCAGGAACAGGTTCTGTGGTGCGCGCAGGGAGCGGCTGGTCAGCACAGCCAGAATGACCAGCGCGTTGCCGAAGATGGTGAAGAGGATGAGGAAGGTGATGACCGCCGCGATGGCGGCGGTGGCCTGCACGGAGTAGGGCTCCTGGTGGTCCATGGCGGGGCGGACGGAAGAGAGAGAGCGGCCCACCAAGCACGAGCACCACGGGACGGCGCGCCACGCGGCGGAGCTACCCTAAGGTGTCCCCAGCTGGAGCCCCATGGCCGGGCCAAACGGGGCCTAAGAGGTCCGGGGACACCTGGGGCCAGCCACCGCCCTCCTACATCCTCTTCCCTCGGCGCCCGGCGTCCCAGCCGTCCGGCCCAGAGAAGTTTCCCAAGTTCTCCACTTGCCGTCCCTGTGCCGCCCGGGAACGAGGAAAGCAGGGTGTCCGCCACACGGCAGCAGCGCCCACGCTGGGAGCGGGCTGGACTGGCCCTCGGGGGTGCGGCGCCGTGATCCCGAGGAGGCGCAGAGCCGAGGCGAGGCGCTGCTCGCTCACCGGCGCTCGCTCGAAGCCGCGCCTCCAGGCAGCCCGCGCTCAGTGGAGTGGGGCGGGGAGCGGCGAGGAGGCGGAGCCCGAGGGCGGGCGGGGCGGGAGGGGGCTAGTGGAGGCAGGGAGCCCCAGTCTACAGCCTCGGGCCGGGCGGCTCCTGTGCTCCCACCCCTCTCCCTCCCACCGCCGCGCCCAGCGAGGCCGACCGGAGGGCCCCGCGTCCAGGTTGGGGTGGGGGAACTCTGGGAAGGACGCGCGCAGAAGAGGAAGGGTCGGTGCATGCGGGAGGCAGAGAGAAGGGGCCACTTTCCTGCGGGCTGTGACATAGGATGCTGGGCAGTGGACACAGCTGCTCTCCCCTCCTGCCACCCAGAAGCCCCAAGGAGAGGGGACGAGAGGGGGCTCTGGGGCATAAGCCACAGCCCCAACCCAGCACCTTAGCAGTGAAGATACCCAGGGGGAGGGGTGGGGCGGCGGGGAGAAGGCCCGGAACCCCTGCCCCCTTTCGACCCACCAGCCTCGACTCCTTCGGACCTGCTGAGCCCAAGGCGCTCGTCGCCGCGACGCGAGCGCCCCCTGCAGCCGTCCGTGGGTCGGGACAGTTCGAGGCCATCAGGACCACCGCGTCCCAAAGCCGGTGGGAAGCGACTGCTGCTCGGACTGGGATTTGTGACTTCGGCTTTCCTGCTGCCGCCCCACTTTCCCCAGTGAAAGGCTAAGGAGTTAAGAGGGGAACTTGGACTGGAATCAGCACAGTGACTCCGGCCGAGTCCGAGAGGGGCGTGGCGGGCGCCAGCCTCTTGACCAATGGGAGGAAGGCGTCGCTCCAGGCGCTGGGCCTAATGGCGGGTGGGGGGGGGTCTGCAAGCGGCGCAGAGCACTGACGGGTCTGGGGGCTGGAGTGTAGGGGATGCCCTGGGCCGTCCGCACGGACACCCCAAAGTCCCTCTTGGGGTGGCAGTGGAAAGAGGACTGGGGTGAGAAGTTCACACTAAGCCCCCACCCTATCCCCTTCTTCGAGCTTCTGGGCGCGGCTCTTCCTCCGGGACCCTCCCTCTTGCCCTCCCCTGCGGCTGCTGTCACCAGCGCCAGCCAGGGCAGCCATCAGGGACATTTTTCACAGCTTCCGGAGCCCCTAATGCCACAGCCTCGTGTTCACAGCCCCTCAGTGCTCCAGTCCGTGCTCTGTAAATAAACATCCATCCATCTCTGAGTGTGGGGCTCTCCTCCCGGCCCCCACCTAGCCTGCCCGCCTCTATGGAAGCAGACCATGTGACCTCTGGGTGCTCATAGACTAGTCTTACCCTTCCCCAGGCCCAGACAGGCCAGATCCTAGATTACCCGCCCAGCCACGTGGGGGTCCCGAGAGCAGCTTTGTCTTCTACTGCCACAGCCAAATGGAGGGGTGCTGCCAGGTTCAGAGAGGCCAGCCAGCCTTCTTCGTGTGTGTGCCCCACCCAGACCTCAGCCAAAGCAGACCCCTCCAGAGACAGGATTTAGGGATGTGTCCTTCCCATGCACTGGACTGGTCAGGGCTTCAGACCACCCATGGTCACCAGTGATGGAGAGTCTTCAGTCCATGGTGGAAAGACTAAGGGGTGGCCATGGGCCTGGAAAGCGGCCACTGAGGCAAGTTCTTCCTGTCCCTATGACCCCTGCCCCTGGGCCTGCAGAGTCTGGACACCCTGGAGGCTGGAGGAGCATGGGGAGGAGGGATCACCTTTCCACCATCTCCCCACTCAGGCTGGGCGCAAGGAGGATCGCCCCAGACACTTGACCAGCAGCAGCGGGATTGTCCTCTGTCCTATCTTTCTTACAGTGCTTGGCCTCCTCCATGCTGCAGGAACTGAGCCAGGGTGGCCTACAGCTGCCCTCCCCACCCCTAAGTCCCCAGGAGGGATGCTCACCTGGACTTTCCCCCAGGGAGCATCCCCAGGTCCACTGAGCACCAAGCTATTCTAGGCGCCCTCTACTGGCCAGTGGGGCATGAGCCCAGGTGGGTACTGCAGGGAACAGGGAAAGAGGACGTTACTAGAACCTCTGCAGTAAGTCCTAGTCTCCTGCAAGCCATGGCAGCCCAAGGCGAATTAACTTATTATACAGGAAAGGTAGAAAAATGAGACTCTGAGAAGAAGCTGAACTTTGGGTCTGGTCAGTGCTGTCTGGCGGCAAAGACGAAAGCCCTGAGTTTGCTGCACCTCTTATTCAGCACATCAGAAGACGCAAATGTTAACAAATGACTTGCAGAGAGTTCAGTACATCAGGATAAATAAAGTGTAACAATCCCAGAACAATGAGGAACTGAGTAGATGAAGATTTTTTTCCTCCAAGGATGTCTTCAGCTGGTGTAATCTTGTCCTGGAGCATCACAGCATCACTGGATCATTGAGGTTTCAGTTGTGACTGGGGGCCAAAATGGAATTATGTCTCAAAATGCCATAGGTGGCCTGTAGGCAGGAGAACTAGGCCTAATCAAATGAGTTTTCCTGAAAATTATGTAGCATTGCTCCCAACATATCTCCCTTTCTTGTAGTTTTATGTGAGGGTGTTTTTAGGAAAAGTGAGCACACCCAGCAATGGCTTGTCCCTATATATTGTGAGGATCTATAGTGTGTTTGACTGGCGTAGCTGTCTAAAATAAGCATAGTTTCTCTTAACTGGGGCTGTAAAAGGATTAAAAATGTAATAAAATTTTTTTAATGTTGGCTAAAAAACTTAAAACTTTTGTTGAACTCAAATAAATACTATCTTCTGTTATACTTTTCTACTGGGTGTTTAAGACCAAGTTAGGGTGAGACCTATATTAAATAAAATCAACCTCTTGCTATCTAACAAGGTCAATTGAGTCTCCTCAGGCACTGTCTTGAAACCATGCCTCTTAGCTCCTCTGTCAGTGTCAGCCATCAGGATATGTCACGGCCTTGCTTGACCATGTTGCTTTCTGCAAAAGCATGGGAGATATTTTCCTCCAAGTGCCATTCCTTTAGCACACTTTTTGTTGGATCTTTACTGTTTTGGTGTTCAGCAACCTCCCTGCTGAGGAGGTTGGGCGACTCACCAAAGATGCAGGATCTTGGAGAAGGTTCCCTCGTGACCTGGATCTTTTTATTATTATTGTTGACCTTGGAGGGCCAGGGCCAAAATATTGCCTGTCATCTTAGCCCAGATACCTTTTTTAGTCCTGGTCTCTAAACTTTGGTTGTTGAACACCCAGAAGAGAAGATCAATAACAGTAGCATTGTAAGAGAAGTAGTGAACTCAACTATTATAACTGTACCTGGATATGAAGCATTTTGGAATAAAAATAAAGTTAAAAGGCTGTTATTATTGCCAATTATGGTTGTACTTGTGGTTGAATCCCTAAGTAGCTATCTTTTTTTTTTTTGGTACCGGAGATCGAACTCAGGTCCTTGCACTTGCACAGAAGGTGGCAAAACCACTGAGCTAAATCCCCGGTCCCTCCTAATTAGCTATCTTTTTATAGGATGTCACCTAAGGAAAATATATCAGCCTACAAGTGTGCTTATTATCATAGGTGGCTGGAGCATAAGAGAAAGGGAAATACCTGAATCAAAAGGTTATTACCATAAACTATATGTTGGAAGACCCATACAATTACAGGGCATGAATACATTTTGTACACCAGAAAAGGAGCGGTAATAAATATCACAGTTAAAAAATAAATAAATAAATAAATAAATATCACAGTTATATAAAACCTTATCTTCTTCAATGTAGTTTGGTACCAAAAGCATCTTTCTAATAACAGTCTCTTATTCATGCCACAGAAATTAATTTTTTGAAGATGACAAATATAGACATCACAATAACATTTTTAGAACTTAACCAATATAAACATTTTATAATAACATATTTAGAACTTAAACTTCAATGATAAACAATGTAATCAATTTATAATAACATAGTGAGACAATATTTATCACTTCTTTATTCACTAAGTAGATATATTTTTTTATTTTTATAACTGCTTATTGCAATTTATTTATTGCAAGTAGGCAACAATACACAACACTTTTGTAAAATAAATCTTGATGGCACTTTGATCAGTTAGCAACCTGGGGGAAGAAGGGCATGCCTTTAACTTCATAACATTTATCTGTAAGCCAATTTAATAATAAGTGGATATCTTTTAAGGAAAAAAAAATTTTTTCAAAAGGTGAAAAGGAAAAGAGGAAAAAAAATCTGAGCTCAACTGTACAAATGGACAGACAACAGACAAACAATAGGACAATTTATAAAACTAGAGTGCACTCAAATATCCCTTTTATGATTTTTAGGTTTATAATTGTAGGACTGGTCAAAAACTTTTGTAGTCAATGAACAGAGATCTCTTGAGATTAGAATCAGAAGGAATGCAAGTGCTTTTATACCTATAAATGTAAAAAGAACATTTTGAAGTTGTCCCCCCTTTTCTTTATTTTTTACCATAAATCTATATTTATTCTTCCTCTGGGGACATCATCTCAATCCTGGACCGCGCTGTGGATTTGTTATTCGTCGCAGGTGAGGTGGGTTGCTCAGGTGCAGGTGGCTCATCGCTCAGTGGGGGTGCTATCCCTGGTCTCTGAAATGTTGGCGGTTCCACCAGCATGACCCATGATCGCATGTTCCAGGAAGGCAGCCACAGGTTTCATCCTTATCTGTCAGGACACAGGCAAAATCTCTCCCCGCAAGTTATTAAGGCAGGAGGAATTTGTTTGACCTATGGCCTTTTGTAATCTTAGAAACAAGTTTAATAATTTAGGTTCTAAGGTAGAGCAGACCATAGCTCCTTCCAGTCAAACAAACTGCACAAGAGGAATCACTTAAAATATTAAGAGGTTGGGAATGGAAGTTTTCAATCACAAATAAAATGGCTAGCAACTCTGATCTCTGAGCAGAGAGACCAGGTGTAGGCAACACATAGCTAAAGGAAGAGCTCCAAATTGCTGCTTGGCCCTGAGAGGAGCCCTCAGTGAAATAGGTTGAGGCACCTTGCAACGGCTGAAATTGAGTAACCTTAGGGAGAA